TGGATCCGGATTGGGAAAGACAGCAAAAAAAGGTATGGTAATTGGTAGGCGTTTTCTTAATCCGCGCACAGCCACTGATTGTAACATAACACCGAACCGTGCCGGTGAACTCACCTATCGTGATCGTGGCGTGGGTAGAAAAGTTACTTCTGTTTTGATAGAATTGCAAGTTACGTATTGCTGATAAGATACCCTCCTACACGCCTATTTACCGTACCGGTAGCCTTATTTTAGACCTCTACATGTGTAATTAAGTAACAAATATACGGATACAGTAGACAGTCTAGTTTCAATTATTAATTAAGTTTAGATCTAGGCCTAGATACAAGTTTGACCCTTTTTTTTTTTTACTCTGGTAGGTCTAGATTCTAGCTACCGCTTTGGTCAGGGAGCTCAGCTCCTCCTTTGCCAAAATCGGCACTTGATCTTGACCGTCTCGACGGCAAGCGGTGTCGGGGGATTTCCCCGGAGTGAAGATCTAGGCAGTGCAGTGTCAGTAGAAAACTAATACACTCGCACGTATCCAAGGTTAATCTAGGCCTATATAGGTCTAGTCAACAGTCTTCAATTTTGGAGTTTTGTGAACTGCTCACAAACTTCTCAATCTAGGTAACTTCTTCCTTCTTCACTTTATCTGCTCTTATCAGAGATCTGCGGCTACCATGAGTGACTATGACTGTTACATGAGTTCTCGTTCAGACATTATGCATCAAAACTGCAGCATTTTTTTTAATGATGATGTGAAATGTAATACACTTCACATTTTTGTATCTTTTAACACAGAGCTCAGTGAATATTAGACAGAAATAACCGTCTGATATGGGTCATTTCTTTAATAAAACTGACATTTGTTGACATTCCCCTCTATAATCGGAGGTCTAGTGGAGCCAGACGTAGTCTCAGTGGAACAACCGACGATATAGCGAGACTGAAGCTTTTGGTCTAAGTGAATATGTGCAAGTCCGTTGTATGCTGTTACCATTCATTTACACATTTTTAAAAAAAATGCAACAATGTCTTTTTGCCATTTCTTTTGCTTTTAATCTCGCCATATTCAAGATTCAAGATAATTTATTTTCTGATTTAAAATACAGAAATTCTTCCTCCACTGGCGAGTGACGTACATATACAAGCAACATAAACGATATATGCACTCGAGGATACAAAGAACATACAACAATAATAGTAACAATAATAGCAATAACAAAACTGGCATTAAAAATTGAATCCCAACAATTGCAACCATGCACAGAATGCATGAAATAAATGAGCATGAGGAAAAAATGAGACAAGAACAAATAAGAGAGAGAGAGATGAGTCAAATGGAGTAGAGAAGAAAGAGGAAATGTGAGGGAGAGAGAGAAGGTGAAAGAAAACGAAGAGCTCTTGGAGGGAAGAGGTAAAATAGAGTACATGCTTTAACAGTGACTGTTCATGGTAAATAAAGACAAACAACGAGTCATGGACATTGCAAGCTAGAGATGGACCTTGTGATGTTGAATATTGTATAATTTATTCTCTCGTTTATTATGTGACCAAGGCTTAGGATGTGCAAGTTGTGTAGGTGTTGATGTCTCCCTCCTTCAGCTATATTGGTAATTTTGTTTCAAGAAACTGGCATGTGTTCAGTTTGCGACATCCCATTAAAACACTTTTTAGTAAATGCGTTTCAATGAGATGTCGGTGAACTTGTACTTTTGAGGGTTTCGTAAAATGATGCCCAAGATCCCACCCGCAAGCCCGTCCATATGTGGGGCTGTGTTAAAGAATCATAATAATACAATATTTTGTAGACATATATTTACACAATTTCTTTATGAAATAAATAATAGATCATTTCATCAGCAACCAAGAAACAAAGAAATTTATGAAAATGTCAAGGAGAGATAAAACTGAAAGGTTACATCTCAGATTTGCTAATTTGATTGATTACAAATTTAAAATTTCATAACTTTATTAATTTTTGTCAGATATTCCACAAACTTTCACTGATCTGTTTCTCTAATTTTGTAGATATGAATAAATTAAAAAAAAAAGAAGATAAATATTCAACCACCATAAGGTCAGGCGTTTCAGGATGACTTTCCCTCAAAAATTCCTATTTCACACAACAGAAAGGTCTAGACTAAAGTAAGGAAATATATGTACTGTAGACTAGATAATATAGCAATTAAAGGATTGTTTGACCAATTTTGAATTATTTATATTTCATTCCACCTCCCTTTGATATACAATGTTGTAGGTGATTATTTTTAGATGCAAAAATATGATTAAGCAATAAGCAAGGAATGTCAGACAGACAGTCCACTGTTTGTATACTACTGGTACCGGTATGTTGACTTTCCTACCTAATTCTCAATAGGCCACTGATAATCCTTACACAATGGGGGCGTTACAGAATATAGACTGCTTGTATAGAAGCATACCGTTAGATGAAATCACAGAATATAGACTGCTTGTATAGAAGCATACCGTTAGATCAGATCACAGAATATAGACTGCTTGTATAGAAGCATACCGTTAGATGAAATCACAGAATATAGACTGCTTGTATAGAAGCATACCGTTAGATCAGATCACAGAATAAGCCAACGGCTTTTTATAAGTTTTTCCACCAGTTGTAAATGTTATTTGAATTTGTTGTAACGGTTTTTCAAATCGTCTTTTCCGGAATGTAAATGGGCCTAGGTTAAAGAAGGCGCTCTATCCTATTGTAGTAAGTCACTCGAGTACAGCAGCTGGGTGTTTCCTAGATATTCTTTGTATGTGCTATGCCTCGTTCAGGAAGTGGTAGTGCCTTTACCAGTTTAAAAATCACTTCATTTTTGACGATGTACTTTAAATAATGTACATATGTATAAGGCAGTCATATAGTTTTCAGTTCAAATTACTGATGTATAATCATTTTGTGAAAGAGTTACCAATCTTTCTATTATTAACAAAAAGGTTTGTAGACATCCCATTCATAAAACTAAAAGGGATGTTAAGACTTGCGACAGTTTTGTTAATTCTGTGAATTATGGTAAGCTGTCTAAAGCTACCTCGCTCTTGATTCTCATTTTTGTTCTTATCATTATTAGTACCTGTAGTATTTTTTTAATTTTCGCAACCACAATATGTTCTAAAGTCTGTGCTAGTACAAGCAGATTTGAAGACCAAATTGTTAATGACAAATCATGCATTTAAATGAAATTGAAACCTTTGTCAAAGTTAATTGATTGAAACAATTATTTGAAGAAAAAAACTTTTTGAAAGATTTGAAATGCTTAAACTTGAATGAGGTTTAATAATCTTGTTACCAGACATGTTTTTAAGATGATCTTTGTCTTGTCAATAGTCTGTCAATGATTAGGTTATTTATTCAGGCAAATATATTTTGTCCAAGTACAACCTGAACTTATGCATGGTGGTTTTGTCCCGGTTTTGTCACATGAAGGTAGATATATATTCCTCATGATCATCCTTATAATATTGACCTGTGCAACTTCCCGACAATGGTCAGGCTGTGAACTGCAGCTGGCGCTATATCTAAAGTTCAAAACCATCATAGCGGACACAGAGCTAGAGAGATAGGTGTGACACCCGTGAGCGCTCTAACTAAAGTTAATTCATCTGGAGTCGCATCGTATTGCCTTTGACAATGAAATTGACCTGTGAATGTGCGACTTCCGGTGACTTAACTACTTACCTCTACCAGCTATCGTGCCTGAAGCCGCCAGCGCTAGCGTTCGCCATGTGGAGGAGCGACTCCGCCCACTCCTGATCTTGCATGTAATACTACCTACTCTTTCTTCACCGATCGCTTTACATGAATATGAATATAAATAAACATGTTTGATATGATAGAGAAAGTGCGTTCATAATAAAAATGAATTAAATTGTCACCATATGCTATTGTCTTCTGTCATTTGGGATTTTATCTTTTTTCTAAGGGGGGGGGGGTGAATTGGAGGAAAGGAAATTGATTAAAAGATCATATCCTTCTCATAGGATGGTACTCTTAGAGTTTGAAATAGATGGTTTTCTTTCGATACATAGTTGATAATAATTGATTTAGAGTTCTCCCGCCATTGGTCAACCCACTATAGTGTGAAATCTAAATTTCTAATTATATTAATTATGTGGAACTTTCTTACTGGAAGATGTGAGTTTTGTTAACGAAGACCAGGGCCGCATCGCTGGTTACACGACCAGCTAGCCTATCGTGCTAGCCGCATTCCTGCCGGGGTGTACTATGAAAGGTTCGGAATGCGAAGCCAGTACGGTTAATACACACACTTGGCTTACACGATAAAGCGGGCTTGCCAAATATGGCTCTTGAATTACATATTAACGGAGTGCGGTGAGGTTGGGAGAATTTATTGCCGTTCGGTTTGTTTATGCACTGATCGATGGAGTACTACATGCATGTAGAAGACGGACTCGTCCACTATAGTATTCCTATTTGTTTCCTCTATAGATTATTAATCGCTAGTGAAATAATCATTAGTTCAGTTATTTAAATTGTTAGACCACTCTCTTGTGAGAGATTTGGAGGTGCATGTAGACAATAACGTGGTGTGTAGTTAGTTAACAAAATTTACGCAGACTAGACCTATGACAAAAGCTTATAATTGTTTTTATCCTTTTATCAATCTATCCCCAAAACTTTCCCCTCTTACAACCGTCGATTTCGGCATACAATTTTTAGCTAAAAAGATGTGTTTCATATCTTTACTTATTTAAGGTACACCTTTTGAATTGAAAAAAATTGGCATTCATCGGATCAGCAAAGTTTAAACACAATTCACAGCTGAGGCTAAAATTTTATTTAGTTGACAATAATAAAATGGTAATGATTGTTTATATAGATCTCCGTAGAGGTCTACTTTAACCGGTACTAATATTTCGAAGATATTTTTATCTACGGAAGCCTACATCTGATCACTCGTAAATTCTCTTTACATACTTCCGGGTCACATGGTACATGTAGCGGGGCCGGGTCGACTTGAATACTTACTGTGTGACCTTTGGCAATCGAAAATCAACGACCGTCGACCGACCTGGTCCGCGCTCGTAGACGTAGGACGATCACCGAATTTTGTCCAAACTTTAGTTCTGTAGAGGGGAAATCTTGTAACCACCGGCAAAATGGCGTACTATGGCAATCAAGATGCCTATGCCTATGATGACGACGATGAAGACGATTATATGAAACAGGAGGACGAATGGAATCGTGATGAAGTTTTGGACCCAGCTTGGGAAAGACAACAGCGAAAGGTATGTACTAGGTGTACGCCCCGGGGACCTTCTCCGTGCATGCCCAGTGATAAGTCCGCTGAGTCATTGCAGCTGCAGTCTACGAATAATTGTTGACCGTGAAAAAGTATATATCAAAAATAAGAGTAGATCTATTCATATGCTTTCAAAATGTCTTCCTTATTTCAACACAAAACGGGAAAATTGTTTCATTGCCATTTTGACATGTACGCATAATTTTTCAGATATTCTTTGAAGTTGGAAGATAGTGAGTTATGAATGTTAGTTGTTACTCTTACTTATTTCGAACATAATTTTCAACTATTTGTAGTGCTTGTGGGACAAAGTTTTGGTTGATTTGAACAAGACTATGTTAAAGTAGAACTAAAAATAAGTAGATGTTAAACCTAGGAAGTCTACGAATGTATGGAACTTGGAAGTAGACTAGACTAATATAGTCTAGTCTGAGTTTAAATCGTGTAGTATGTACGATATAGCAATTGAACAGGGGTAGGGCACCCTAAATGTCTGATTAACATTATAACAAAGGATGAAAACACATTTTGGGAGCATCCTTATTGTGTGGTGACCAAATAAAACATCACTACATGTAGACTAGATCTAGGTCTACATGTATTGGAAAGTGATCAGCTCCTGAATTACAAACAGTGTTCTTTATCAAATGAACAAACCTCTGGAAATTATGTTTGATTGTCTTGTATTAAGTGTCAGGGCGTAACGGTAGAGGGCCGCAAATAATTATTAATACAATTGATATGTTTGTTTTAAGAGTATCATATATTGGATAAGTGATTTTTTTTGTAATGTGCTAAATTTCTGTGTGGAAACTTCAAGACCAAGTTGTGAGAAAGTTCATATCTGGTCAATTGCTTCTTACATATTTAGAAAATAACACAGTGTCTGTTAATAATTCTTTATTAGTGGTGGGCACATATTCCTATACAAGGTACATGTACATGCCAGGGTTACCTTGTACAATATAAGGCGATACTGGATAGATATGGGCTGCATTCAATAGGCAAGCTTACAATAAAAGTCTTTGCCAGTGTATACTCGCACTGTCACCAGGCGTGCGTCATTCCATCACACTCATTGGTTTTCTCTTCATTCCCACTCCATATAATCTACACATAACTTGCGAGTGACATAATGAAGCAGGCCTGATGTGGTAGTGCATTAGCGCCTAAAATTCAATGTTAAATTCTAATGAGCAATGTTGCCACCTACCAGAGAACAATTATCAAACTTGAACGGCCCCTTGATATTGGACCGCTAACGATTGGAACATCTTATTTTTTTAAGAGGAGGGTTTTTTTGAAAATTATTTTACTGGTCACCCATGCACAGTTTTTCGATGATAATGGATTGGAATGGAATTCTTTTATTCTTAAAACTGCACAAATTTTAAATAATTTTGCTGAATTTTTATTAAGAAAGTATTAGGGCAGACGCGTAATCTTCTACAACATTACTTGTAATTAAGCTATGTACAAGTTTGCTCCTGGAAATATTTTTTCGCAGTCTACAAATGGTTCTGAAATTTGAGCGCAAGCTAAGGTATGACAGGCATGACAGGTATAGCTGATAAGCTATACATACCATACCTTTACAGTAAAGCTTATCTACTATATTTCGCTTTGCTTACCGATTTGATTGCCATTCTAACGTCAATTAGAATTGCCCTGGTAGCTGAAAAAAGTTCTTTGAACCTTTTGTTTCCCCAGCTGGGAAACCCCTCACACAATCCCCTACGTATACAGTATATGACCATGCCCATGTGAATACTTTTTTTTTGTCTGCCAGACATGAATATCAGTTCTTCCCCAAGGAAGGACTGAAAAGCTGTGGTAATTTACCAATAAGTTACCTTTTGCTCACACTTTGCGGCCCTGATCAGAGGCAGACAGCAGCACTCTCCTCGGGAGCAAGAGGGCTAACATTACCAAGGTCCCATCGCCGCCCCTCCCCCCTCCGATAAGGGAAATAAGATGGAGGAAAGCCCCAAATTAGTGCAGTAGTGTTGTTTCTCAAACCCAGGCCATCATCAGGTAAACCTAAGTCTATAGATTCCTCAGCAGCCGTTGGCTCGACAGCGGATGCATCCCTGATGCTCCAGCTGCGTTAATATCGGTCCTGCCTGCTGTGCCGGCATAAGCGAGATACACAACTAAAGAATACCCAATGTCCACTCCAATAAGCTCTAATCCTGCCGCTAAGCATGGCTACAAAAACCGAACAATTTTCCTTTGCAGGCACGGCAAACGACCCTGCTAAGGCAAAACCAGCAAAGTGTCTGGGGTGGGCAATTCTAAAGGACCCCGTAATCCAGCGCCAGGGAGGGGGCGGTCCTGCTCCCGCTGACTTGGCTGCTAGCAGACAATCCTGTAGCGCATACGGGAAAAAGCCTTTTCGTAATACCAAGAGAAGGACGAGATCACTGTCTGCACATAGTGTCTCGAGCAAGAAATTGGACTGATAATAACAGTTTTATCTCTCGGGGTCCGGCTGGATCAGGAAATAAAGAAAGCGTTACTAGTGATGTTTTCTATACAGAGAGACTGAAAACCGAGCAGTGAGCAAGTTGATGGAGTAGTTGCGGCTTAGTTAAGCCTCGGTCACAAATGCCATTACGAGCGATTGTCAGACCATGGATATATTCAGGAAGACCATGGAAAAATACGGAGGTTTGTAGGAACGCATCGTTCGTACGAACCTTTGTGACCGTAGCTTTACCGATTTAGTACTACCCTCTGTTGATGGCTGAACCCCCCTCTGCGGACTGGAATCTATAGCAAAGCAAAGCCCATATTTTGTCTTGACTCAGTGTTATCCGCCTGTGCTGAGAGAGCTTGCGCAGTAAAAATTGACACACCTGTGCAATCAAACCCTGAATATCCTGCTGCAATTCTGTTAACAAATCAGTCTTGTAGCCCCTCACATACCAGGAAAGGACATCTTGATGGTGCGTTTCCCATCAGAGTGGCAACTCAATCCAAATACTATCAGATAGATCTTCAAGGCTTCTGGCAATGGATGCCCTCTCAATATCTTGGAGAAATATCCTAGTGTACTTATGTTCCCCTATTCGTGCTTCATGAGTGCTACAGAAGGTTTAGGAAGACAAAGCAAACTTCCCATCGATGGGGCCATGGCGGCCAAAGTGGCCTTGGTTTCCAACTCTGCAGGACAATTGCCTCGCAGACGGGCCTTTCTTACAGAGCTGCCGGGCGATTCCAAACAAATTCCTCAGATCAACAAGAAGGAACTCATAGGATTTTAGACTGCAGTCTGTTTTTATTTGATGCAATGAGAGACTGGTTGGTCCATCCTCACCACGTGAAGGCAGAATTGCAGATTTTCTCATACACCTGTTTGAAAAGAACCTTGCTACCTCAACTATCAAAGGGTACAGATCAGCAATCTCAACCATCCATAAAGGTTTTCCAAGGTGGAGAAACAGTAAGTTCCTCCAAGCACCTTACACAAAGCTTAGAATCAAATATCTCTTTCTCTTTGGAGCCCACATAAAAGATGTTAGGTCCAGCCTGCATTTGGAGTCTTGCATGCCCTAACCTTTCCACCCTTTGAGCCCATGCATAGTAGCTCTTTCAGATCTAAAATTGAAAATTGTCTTTCTGCTAGCAGTAGCCTCTGGGACAAGATGTAGCTTTTTGCGTGCCCTCACAACGGGCCACATCCGTTTGAAAACTAATGTGGTAAGACTCGTCCCCCTTGCTAAGTTTATAGCAAAGAACTCCTCCTCGAGTGAGGTATCTTGTATTTTGAGTCAAACTATGGTGTCCAGTGCAGGCCCTGAAATGGTACTTGCACGAGACAAAGGTCATGCATGCACCTCAGTTCTGGTCTTTGTCAGTTCTCAATCCCCCATGGGTCAGTTTCTCCATATATCAGGCCATTAAGGCTGGAGATGACTAGACCATCCTACCCCATCATCTTCGAGCGAATTGCCGTTGTAGCCTTGCCTGTGCCCTCTTCCCGGGAACTTCTCTTAAAGACATTTTGAAGACCGTTTTACTGGCATAATCCTATCGCAGCTACTATATGAATATTCCGGTACGCTAATACAAAGTATCATATTATTACACCGGCTGTAGCTGAGCTGCCATTTAATAAGACGCTAAAGGAATTTCTTCCTACCTGTACCCATGTACTTCACCTGTGTTGAGAGTGACTTTGATAGGAGGAAATATTCACACAGGTATGGTCATGGGTTTGGGTTTGGGGTTTCCCAGCTGGGGCAACAAAGATTTAAAGAACTTTTTTTTTCTTCCTGCTACCGGGGCAATTCTAATTGGCATTTGAATTACAAATTATGAAATGGATTGGTAGTAAAGCTCACTCGTAGATAAGAAAAAAACATACTTAGCTTCTTAATGCCCTTGATAATGTCCATGATAAAGGGGAAGGGGGGGGGGGAGGGTTGAATCAACACTTACATGTTAAAGCATATGTATCCACTATCCATCCGCTTTATACATGGTATACTCAAAATTCAGGCATGGATAGGACTACCGGTAGGTCCATTTTGTATGATATCACTAAAGTCTTGTTGTTCAGTGGAGAAGGCCTAATTCACTGAACCTCACAACAGAGTGAATATGAGAGTTAAACTAGGCACCGGTATTCCTTATTGTTACTGTTGGCTTTCACCCTCCAAGGTTCTCTCAGGCTCAAAGCATGCTTTAATAGTGTGAAAGTCGATGCCAGGATGTAAATTCATTTCCATGATGTTCTTCTCTAACAGATGGGAGTAATATCAGTAGCGTAGCAGTGGTAAAATCATCATAGGACCCCCAGGCTTGTCAATGCATTCATCCAGCTTTAAGAAAAATCAGAAATTAATGAATGGTATTGGCCATTAGGAATGGAGAGGAGGGTAAACTCATTAGTAGCAGGAATTCTGCACAGATTCATCCAAAGCCTTGGGCTTTGTCCATGTACTCGCTATGAGATCCAACTTCTTTCTCTCTCTTATTAAG